ATAAGTAACAATTCAGAACAAACAAAGAACTTTAAGAATGAGTGCAAGATGAGAAGACACTGCCGGTATTCCCCAACACCTATTCACCACTCCAAACAAAACTGAGAACGAATAAACAAGTACGCATCTAAAAAAATTCAAAATCTTCTTCAAGAATTTCCATTTAACCGAATCTTACTGACCTGATACGAAATCTTGAATAAATTCGGAAGCATTAGATTCTAACAACCTTAGATCGCTAGACAGTGAGTACGGATAATACCGGTTTAGTCACAGCAACAAATAACAATAACAAAAATTTAGGAAAGACAATTAATAGGAAAAACAATCATGTCATTGGAGAAGGACAATTGTAATCTCCTCAAAAAAAACTCACAATCTCTTTTTTCCATTCAACTTTGGTTTCTTTACCTCCCAAAGAAGCAAACTTGTTTTACCAGAATGAGTAAAACAAAGAGCTTATTTTTACAATAAACTTGGAAATCGACGACTCTTTGGCTCTTTGGCTCTCCCAAACTTGTATCGTCCAATTTGAATTCTATCACTCTTAGACTTAATGTACTGTGTTACTGATGCTGCTCCGTTTGATGAGGAACATCGACACACTTTATTCTCACTTCATCCGTATAATTACAATTAGCATTCCTTCAAACACTAGTTCATACTCAGTAACTAGACTTACCAACAGAATAATGAAATAAACTGAAAGTGTAAAGAAAAAATAAAACAAATTTGTTAATATCAGTTTTTTGCTGTGTTCTTATTCTGTTGAGCTTCCAGTAACTATCCTTGATCATGTAATCACTTCATGTAATCACTTACAGCGCGGGTCTTTCGTAATCGTCAATAAGCAATCGTTTATTAGTTACCTCAAACTCAAACTTGAGTGATTAAACTATAAAAACAGTAAGGCGTCAAGAACATAGGACAACAACAATGAATAACAGCGAAGTCTATAAATTAAGAATTTGAAAGACTATAATTATAAAAAAAACTGCCATTATTAGTTGACAAGATGCGCAAAAATATCACTCTCCCTTCTTTTGCTCCTTTATATAGATCACTTCGGTGGCTTCTCTTCTAACGTCGATGTCATAGCTGGTAATGAACAAAACAATAATTAATCACGAAACTAGTGCTTCTTTTATACCTGCTTTCTGCCCCCTCACGTGAACATTACTGCAACCCCACCGTGAGCTTCCCCTCAGAGAGTTACAGTGTTCTCGAACTTCCCATGCGGAGTCTTTCGAAAGCGGTCGCGCTGCTGTTTTTGCGTTAACTCATTTTTCTGACGTCTAAGAAATCGTTAAAAATTAGAGTGACTAGATAACAGCAATTGATATCAGCGCTGCAAAATGAATACCAAAGTAATGTGTATAGTTTTGTTTCTTTTTTTTTTTTTCAGTATTTGGCGACAAATTTCCTCAGAATGTTGTGGCAATTCTGTTGAAAATTGTGACTTCTATCGTTACAGTATGGAACCTGGCGAAGATTTTTGTCATAAACGATTTTTAAGTTTTGAAGAAAATTTATAGTAAGTGTCAGAACTTTTAAATTTTGTTAATTCTGAATAAGTTGTACAAATTTGTTACAATTATGCTTAATGTACAAAAAAAAAAGCACCAAAACAGCAAGCAGTAGCAAAAAAAA